TTTACTGAAGCAAGCATCATTAAAACAGTCACATAGGAAAATAGGAGGAACAAACAAGTCACGACTTAGTCTTTTTTCAAACAAAACATTTTTATTTTTTAAAATAAATGAAAAATTACAAAATTAAGGTTAAAAGTTGAAATTGAAAAATTAGAATTAAAAAAAATCTCCTTTTTGCTTCGGATTCAATACTGATTTAGGTTCAGAATCTTCGATTTTGAATTTTTGACTAAGTAAAAAAATTAAAAAGTTAAAATTGAAAAATGAAACTTTAAAATGTCATATCTGCTTCATATTCAATTCTTATTTACATTAAGGTTTACCGATTTTGTATTTTGACTCAGTGAAAAATGAGTCAAATTAAAAATTAAAATTTGATCCTCCTTTCAAAACACCAAACAGCAGGTGTTATCTGAGGCCCAGAATTTCACTTATTTCTGCTTACGGCCCTCTGATAAGGCCTAACCCGATTGTTCTCGGCAATTTTTGGGCAACGTTTGGCTTTGGGAGAAATTTTTGTGGCTCTATCAACCTCAAGTAATTTTCGCCTTTCTGAGCAATTTTTCAGCCACTTTCAGGTTTAGAGCAGATATCAAGCACGATAAAGTCAACGTTTCCTAAAAAAAAAAAAGTCGACCTATGCAATTTCGTACGTTTCGCCGGCCTATTGTCCAATATTAGAACGGGTAATCGACAAAGATGGCAAGATAGCTGTCTTTGCTAATTCATTTTCCATGAACAGATATGGATGTTTAGAAAGAATATAGCTTTTAATAAACGTCTATGTGAACATATTTGGGAGGTCCCTTTTCAAATGCGGCCTAGTTCACCCGGCTTTGAACCGAGAGAAGGGAGTTCGAATCTCCCAAAAACCTTCACGTTTAAAATATACATATACCTTAGAAATTGCTCCAGTATATTTTGTTTATTTGCTGTTCATTTGCTGCTTAGTTGACCATATTATTTGCATTTCGTACTATGATTGTATTTTCATCTTTTTGTCACATCTTACACATACGTAATCTTTTTGTTGCCATTTCTTATGATTTCTTTTGATTCATTATCTTTTCATCATTTGTCAATCCTTCTGATACATCACTCGATTTAATGATGTCACAATTAGTTGGTATCTTTTCCAATACACTTGAATTCATACTCACAACCATCCTTGCTCGAAGTTCCTGTTTTGCATTTATTCAAAGGCTCACAGACCATCTTTATGATACCTGCATTAATTTTAAGATGCTGTTGCACAGCATATATAGGGAATAATACATGGGCGCGCGTAGATATGGAATTTCTCTTCGAGTTGTTAACTCGATAGCTCACGAGTGAGCGCAGTCTAGTTGAAAACAAGAAGAGAAATTCCATATCTAAAAGCGACCATGTATTATTTTTTTATCATATAAACACAATAGCCAATCAAATAAGCCACTTCATTAATGAATGAAAATAAATGAATCGACAATCCTCGAATAACAATCGTAGAGTGCGTTGACGCTGACTCTTAAATTGGAAAAATTCGTTGAATCATGATTACAAGAACAACAATGGTCGTAATTTTCAATTTACAAAACTCTCACTCATTGACTTTGTCCTTACCGACAGAAGAAGTCTTTCAAGTAAACGGCCAAAATCGGCCAGTGGCAAATCTTCCAGTTGTCGATTTTCATTCTCAGCCGAGAGATATGCTAACACCAAAGCCACTGAATACGCAACTTTCGGTTTTTCTTTTAGTATATTGGTTTTCTTCCCCTTCTAGGAAAGTTTGAACCTCATTGTCTGTCAGCAATACGGATTTTTTAGTGTTTTAGTCGCCATAATCCGATAAAGCTCTGACAAACAACTTGTAGTGAGAATCGTAAAGGCTTTGCCGTTCATTCATCAACCTGACCGAGTGGCGCCAAAGGCGAGTGACGTGTAAGCAGCTGATTGGCTATATCAACACACGTGAAAAAATACGATATTTTTTCACGTGAGTTGTCATGGCTTTTCTCAGGGCCGGAAATTCTTGTATAACACCGCGGTTTATGTGATAAAAAGTGTTATAATATGAAGTTTCATTTATACTTTGGTTAATGACCTTCACACATCTCTTATACGTATGATTATTTTTTGTAAATGCATAATCACGATCTTTGGCTGACTTTTTATAATTCTGTTGTCGAATCATTAGTTATATATTACATATTCTGTTATCTTTTTTTATTATTTATATGATCATTCAATTTGTCTTCTGTTATAACAGCATTAAAACATTCCCAAACAAAACGATGAACATAATACGTTTTTTGATATTTACTTCCATATTTACTCACCGTGCATCCCAAATAACCACTTGACCAATCATTATCAATGATAGGTATTTCTTAACAATATTTATTATTTGCTCATTTTGATTTGCTGATATAAATTGTAGACCGGGTGATAATTATAAACACATTCATCTATTACAATTTTACTCATTATAATATAGTAATATAATATTTCTTTATATCTTTATCAAGGTTTAAAGAAATGTTATGGAAGATGAATATGAAAAATATCATCTCAAATAATTATATAAATATGAATCAATCAATTCTCAAGAAATCATCCAAATCACAACTTATCAAGTTGCTTGTAAAGCAGAATGTATAACCAGCTCCTAAAATCATAATCGCAGATGATAAACCACTTTCTACAACAAAAGCATAAGACCAATCCCAAAACCACGAAAGAGTGATAAACAAATGGTGCAGGAGTATGAAGATAATATCATCCCTCCACCAACTGAGTTCAAAGATGATTACAAACCATCCCAAAACCAAGGATAAAGAAGGTGATTGTAGATAAACCAGTTCCAACACCAAGAACAAAAATAGGGCAAACAAATAAAGCTCTAAAAGGAAACACCAAATCGTTTGAGGTCGATATAAGACATAATAAAGCAATGTAAGATATAAAAAGACCCTTCAACACAATTGAAAAATACAGGCAAAGCGATTGAATTTAATCTTAAAAACAATTAGATGAAATGAAGAGACGAATTTAAGAGATCCTAGCAACATATCCCTTGACTAGTGAGGTTATCTTGTTCAGTTTGAGAAGTGGTCTGCCTCAAAATACGGAAGTCTTAATAATTAATGCATCTTATACACACTTTAGATCAATTAAAATGCTCTGCGCACACTCGCCTAATACTCAACGAGATCAGAATGACAATAATACATCACTTTTCCCAGCGTAAGTTAAAACATGACTCATTTGACACGAACGATGGAAAAAGTTGTCATAATGGCCAATTCAAAACTTCAAATAAACAGTAATAATCCATTTTATCAGAGTCATCACTTTGTTTTTGACAGTCGATCATAAGAACAATACTCACAAACTAAGTTAACCTTTTCTTACATCTTTTGTTTAACAATTGCACGCCTCCCTTTCGTAATTAGTCGACAATCCTTTTCTCAACAAGACAGACAGAATTTTTAAAATTAGTTTCCAAAAAGTTACATAAAAGTCCCCCACCCCCCAACAATGTTGAAATACAATTTTGATTATTATGCTAAACCCAGGAATGTTGTCACTCATTGTCACCCCAAAAATGATTGTCATATGACAATCTGATGACTAATTTCCGGGGGAAAGTCCCTCATGTATTACATCATAAACTTCCTGTTTTTGTGTCACCCAATGGGCAAATACCGTGAGATCATATCGCTATTCTCCTATAGTATTCCAACGCTTTGTGGTTAAAAAATGATTCCATGAAATGATTCCATGAAATGATTTCATCACATAGTTTATCAAATGATTCCATCAAATGATCTCATCAAATAATTCCATCATATAGAAGGTAGTATAGAGGGTTGGCATTTTGTACAAGATCACTTTTTCAAAGTGCTTTGGTACCGCAAACTACTATACTACATAAACACAGGTAAAGAAAAATTGAAGTAAATGTCAGAGGCTGTTTATGTGTTAATAAGTTGGCGTTTGTTATAACTTCCTCATTTATAGTGTGACAGTGTGAGAAAACGAAAGCGATGAAATTTTGTGCGCTTATCTTTCTGGTTTATCTCGGAATTGGCGCTGATGCTGGCAAGAAAAAGAAACTTTGCCGCCGAATATTGGACAAGTTGTCAGATCTTGAGGACCTGATTTAAAAGAAAAAGTACTGCTGTCCGCCAGGTAAGATGTAGAAGATCTTTTTTGTCGTTTTAACGTTACTTTTACATCACCGCTTTTTTTGGTCCGTCGGTTCTGAATTTCGGCTGGATTAAAAGTTATTGCCAACATAGTTTGGAATTTTGGTAGTTACCCAGTTATGATCGATTGCCTGATAGTTTTTCTCATCTCTTCAGAGCTAACACCCACAAGTTCCTGCAAAGAAATATATGAAAAAGACAGTTAAGGAACGAACGATCGTTAAATTTGTGCCTGAACGAGGGTGGGTGGCAAACAAACATATCGGCAAACAAACATATCGTGAAAATCCTTCTACAAAAAATTGCGCACTGGAGAAAAAAAAAATATACAAAGTTAAAAGCGCAACAAAAAAAAAAAAAAAAAAAAAAATTATGCGACTTGAGAATTCCACATCTCTTCCCCTTTACATGTAAGGACCAGTGTGAGTGATTGATTGTTCTCTAATATCGTGATGGTGCGGATCTGGGCTCCTGTTTGGCTACACATCAAGAGCACAGTTTAAATACCTAAATAGCCTTGTAACAAGCCTTCACCCGTTGGAAATTGTGACACGTCTCCGTCCTGTTAACCCTGATTTTGTTTATCTCAGTATTCTTCTCACTGACCGTAATAGCGCTGAGCCAAGACTTCCCCGCGTATTCTTTGCGATGTCACGCAGTGCTGCTTCTTTTTTGCGTCTCGTGACATTCCAAAGAACTACCTCGTAGGATTCAAAGAATATAACACTCTGATGCTCTCTCATTGGTGCCAGCCCGAACAAGGCGTATAATCTCAAGCTTGGGAATAAATATCTGTCTGTGTGTTGTTCCATGGATGGGGAGCTCGGAGACTGCGGTGGTGGGGGATGGACGCTGGTCATGAAGATTGACGGTGCAAAGGTACAGTGGAACCCCTCTAGACTGGACACCCTTGGGACCGTAGTTTCTCAAGAATGTCGAATGAAAACTTTGACTCGCTTCTTTCACTCCTGTTTGCTTCCCATTGTCTCTTTTAAGTCAGTGAATGTTCTATAGATCATATTAAAGGGCCACGCTCAACCAGCATGCAATACGGGCGTAGTGGACACTCTCGGTATTTTCTGGCGCGAGTTTGATGAAGCACTCATGGAGCGAAGTAAAGCAAAACTGGGGCAATCCCAGATTAATGTAGACACTAACTTGAAAAGTGCCTCATCTTGCAGCACAACTTCAACTACGATTCAAAAGCGTGGTCTTCCAGGTCTTCAGTCTCTCCCGAAAATGGAGACCCTGTTACCAACGTACTGGAGCACGTCCTTTACCAAGATCTGTCTCGGCATGAAGGTCGATGGAAAAACCAGGTTCTTGCGAGTGAATAGGGCAGCAGCCTCACTGTATGCCCTCGTTGCTGATGGTCAGTACCGTGAAATCTCGCTGGGTCGTGATGCATGGAAGGGAGAGGTTGGTCCCAAAGCCTCCCTCCAGCGCAACTGTAATCGAGAAGGGTCCAATACGCAGGGTAATGTAAGTTCTAATCCTAAGATACGAATTGGTATCATCGCTAACGAGCAAAATGAATGTAATTCCCCTGATTCTAGAATCGGGTTTGGTGAATGGGGAGTGGTAGCCGAAGTCCCGTGCGGAAACGTAGCCAGGCACGGCGGGGACAACGGAGACCAAACCATGAGAGCCTTCGGATACATCTTCGTTCAGTAAAGACACTGAACTGCTCTACTCAAGGGAAAAGCTGCATACGACATAAAGCATGCTCTTATCTCAGTAATGGGCATTTTAAAAGTGGTTTTTTGCTTTTGCTATTAAATGAATGGAAAATAAAAGTGGGTCAATGAATCAAAATGATGGCTCTTAATTTGTGTGTTGTAGGTACTCGAAGGAGAATCTGTCTTGTAGGTGTATAACTTTTATTTCCTCTTAGAAGTTGCTTTACTTAAACCATATCAATACACTGTCTTTATGGGAGCCTTTTTTTCTCTTGACAACATAATTCGTTCAGCAAGGGCCAAATTCTAAAAACTAAAATTACACAAAATAAATGGCAGAAAATGACAGACCTCTCGTTATTTATCGCCTGAAGGAGAGGGGTTGGGGTCCTCAGACCGAAAGATATAAAAACAGTGAATATACCTACCATATCTTTGATTCACCCACTATGTCGTCAAATAGACGCCTAACTCGACCGACTTCCGTAATCGTCCTGCAGTCCCGTATCCTTTTTATGGGCACAATCAGTAAACAAGCGACAAAACAGTTGGGACCTGATTTTTTTTTTTTCCGCGCTTCTTGCGAAGCAAAAATCATTTCTTTTGCAAAATTTCCTTGTAACATGATTTCTCAGTGTGTATTTGCCACCCTCCTCGGCCCCACACTAGTTCCTTATTTTGTCGGAGCCTAGGCCCCAACGTAATTAAGTTTTGATTGACACTTCACGCAAGTTATCATGCATGTTGCTTTTGAGGGGATGTTTTTTCTTAGAAGAAGGTGTAAAAAAGCACTGAGTGAAATGGAACAAAAAAAATTAAACTATGAATGGTGTTTTCAAAGCCCTTCATGCTGGAGGGCCGGGGAGGAATAGATTAATTTATTTTCTATCTTCTTTAGTAGCATTTATGAAGAATTTCATTAAAAAAAATTTCTCACCTATAATTTATTAGAAATTACGACAAATAAATTGGTAGAGTAATGATGGATTTATTGGATGAGATGTCTACTGAAAAGACAACGTTGTGAAAGGAAAAGGATGGACAGTTTTATTTTCACCAAATAACGACCAAAACACAGTTGACAGTTGAATGCAAGATTAAAGAGCAGAAAAAATAGCCGCCGAATACAAGCAACATGAGCCTAAAAAAAAAAAAAAAAAAGGAGTCCAATTCATGATCCGTATGGAGCGAACAGATCGTTAAAACGCCATGGCCAAAGCTTTAATGAGATTCACGGATCGTCAACACAGCCTTACGACTCGTGAATATATTTGACGATCCGTGGTACTGGACATGCATGACCGAGGAGAGAGAAAATTGCGCGTCATCAATTTAATTTCTGACCACTTTTTGGTATATTAACAGGAAATAAACTAATTTTGTTATTGTTGTGTGGTAAATACTTAAACAGTTATGCACCTCAGGGTCGGTTAAAGTCCTAGATATCTATCTCGCCACTTCGCAGCTCGGTTAATATCTACTTCCATTCACCTCCACTTCGGTGAATAAATAACTCACCTGCATTTTTACTGGCACTGTGAATTGATTAATAACGGTAATAGGACTGAGTGGGTCTGTAATCATACGGGTGATTAACCAAATCGGACTTTGACTGTAGACCGAATTGGACGACACGAAGTCCCGTTACCATTATAAATCGGGCAGGTGATAATCAATCACGTTCGAGAATTTATAGTTCTAGCTTTAATTAATTGCCTAACAATATCTTCAGGGCCAACTACACCTGCAAGTTCCTCGAAAGAAATATGCGACAAGGACAGGCAAGGAACGAGTGTGGGGTCAGGGCGGGCTGGCAAATACACACTGAGAAATTGTTACATGGAAATTGTGCAAAAGAGATGATTTTTACAAAGCAAGATGCACAGAAAAAACACATCAGGCTCTAACTGTGTTTGTCGCTTGTTTATTGATTGAGCTCGTAAAAAGGAAATGGGACTGCACGACGATTACGGAAGTCGGTCGAGTTCGGTGCTTATTCGACGGGATACTGGATGAATCAAAGATATGGTAAATATATGCATCGTTTCTGTATTTTTGGTCTGGGGACACCCCTCCCCTCCCATAGGCAATAAATAACAAAAGGTCTCTTATTCTCTGCCATTTATTTTGTGTAATTTTAGTTTTTAGAATTTGGCCCTTACTAAACGAATTGTGTTGTCAAGAGAGGAAAAGCACTCATAAAGACAGTATGTTAATATGGTTTAAGGAAAAGTAACTTCTCGGAGGGAGTGAAAGTTATACACCTAAAAGACAGATTCTTCTACAACTCAACTCAAAAATACAAGAGACAATATTTTCATTCATTAACCCACTTTTATTGTTCGTGTATTTCATAGCAGAAGCGAAACCCGACGTCTTAAATCCCCATTACTGAAATAAGAGCTTGCTCCATGTCGCATACAACTTTTTACTTGAGCAGAGCAGTTCAGCGTCTTTACTGAACGAAAATGTATCCAAATGCCTTGATATTTTTGTCTCCGTTGTCCGGACCCCACGAGGCTCCGTTTCCACACGCGTTTTTGAATCCTGACCCTCCTGCACCAAATCCGATAAAGGAATCAGGGGTATGACAATCTCCTTCTTGATTAGAGATGATTCCAATTCGAACCCGAGTATGACCGGTACTAGTCACACGCGAACTGAAGCCTTCTTGATTACAGTTGCGTTGAAGGGAGGCATTGGGACCAATCAGCTTCTTCCATACATCACGACCCAGCGAGGTAGCACGGTATTGACCGTCACCAATGAGGGCATACAACGAGTCTGCTTTCTGATGCAGCCGCAAGAACCTGGTTACTCCATCGATCTTCATGCCAAGGCATATCTTGGAAAAGGACGTGCTCCAGTAGGTTGGTAACAGGGTCTCCAGGTGATCCAATCCGGTATCTCCATTTTCGGGAGAGACTGAAGACATTGAAGACCACACTTTTGAATCGTAAACAAAGGTTTGCTGCGAGAAAAAGGAAATTTTCAACTTAGTATCCAGTGCATTGGAGAAAAGGCAATTTTCAACCTAATGTCTATAGGGACTGGACCGGACTGCACCAGTATCGCTTCTCTTTGCTCTATGAGTGCTCATCAAACTCGCGCCAATCTCTCACCAGGCCAGTGCCTCAATCGACGAATTTTCAACTGAATGTCGAAAGTAATCAGAGATTTCATTGGTTTTGCTTTACCTCCTATTGTGATTGGTCCAGGAATTAAAACTCGTGCCACTCAACCGATCAGATGTAAAACTAACACTAAACACGACTTGGTCGGCTGCGTTTTCCCGCGCTTTAGGCAGTTTGGTTGTTTTTACTATGAGTTCTCATTGGCTGTCCGTGATATTTTTCTTTCTTTTGATTGGCCGTTGTGATTACTTTGGTTTCGGTTTTACGACACTGAAAAACTAAACTAAATCGCTCATAATGGACGACGTTTCCGGTCTGTAGGACAGAGCCAAAGGCAAAATTGAAGAATTTGTAAGACGGCCAAACAGCTACTTTGAGCCACGATCAAGACAATACATATTCTCTTGCCACGGTACAATCGCTATTCGCGGCTGAAATATCAGACTCAGAAGTTATATACTTGACAAAAGTGTACAAAAGCAAGAGATTTAACAGGGACTCGATCCTTAACGTCGAATTGTATTACAAAGAGACGGAGACCTTCGAATTCTAAAATACATTTATTCGTGTCGGTGAAACGCCATTCACAAGACGCAAAGAAAGGATTCGTAAAAGAAGTGCTTCGCCTTCTTCGAATAAATTCGTCACTTATCCCAAGGCTTTTAGAATTGATCTAACAAACCATATAATATGGTGGCTTTCCATTGTGCAGGACGGCCTCTTTTCGATGGCTTCATTTTCGCAAACGCGGAATCAAACGACAAAAATATATATAGAAAATACACTATAGACACTTGACGAAAATAGACGAGGGTATTAAAAGCCGGTTCTCGATCATGGTTGCATAGTGTTAGTCGAATAATATCACACACACGGTAGACTTTCCTTTTCTGTAAGTACAGATGATAAAATGATTTGGAGTGCAATTTGGTATTGGTAAGCACGAGGAAATTTTTCAAAGACAAGATAATTGCACGAGCCCGCAGGTCAAGTGAAATTTGTAGTCTTTGAAAAATTTTCAAGTGCTTATCACGAAAGCATGAGAAACCATGTTACTGCTTTTAATAAAGTACATGAAAAAGAACATCACAGAAGTCAAGACAGACGAACTTTCAAAGCGTGCACGCGCTATTTGTAATTTGCATTCCTGTTACAACTTTGCACTCGTGTTACATGAAAATGCATTTGTTTTCAGCCAATTAGAAGGGCAAGTAGATTATTATACAGAAAATACTGAGAATGTTCACTACGCCCGCATTGCATCCTGGTTGAGCGAAGACCTTTAATGTGCTCCATAAAACATTCACTGATTTAAGAGAGACTATGGGAAACAAACAGGAGTGAGAGAAACGAATCAAAGTTTCCATTCGTTACATTCGAAAAAACAATGAGTTGGTAGGGTTTTGAAACCTTGAACATGTTTGAAATACCTTTGCACCGTCAGTCTTCATGACCAGTGTCCATCCCCCACCACCGCAGTCTCCAAGCTCCCCACTCATGGAACAGTACACAGACACATCTTTATCGCCTAGCTTGAGGTCATACGCCTTGTTTGGGCTGGCACTAATAAGAAAGTATCAGTGTGTTATGTTCTTTGAATCTTACGCGGTAGCTCTTTGGAATGTCACGCAACGCAAAAAAGAAGCAGCGCAGCGTGACATCGTAAAGAATACGTGCGGAGAAGTTTTTTCTTGGCTTGGCGCTATTGCAGTCAGTGAGAATAATACTGAGATAAACAAAATCAGGGATAATAGGCCGGAGACGTCTTAAAATTTCCAACGGGTGAGAGCTTGTTACATGTGCAGCCAAATAGGAGCTCAGAGCCGCGCTAGCACGATATAAGAGAACAAAACCAACAAATCCAGTCTACTTCATATTCTCTTGAATCGCTCACACAATTCCTGGTATCGATTAGGAAAAATATAAATCCCTGGATAAAAACCGGAACTCTCTGAGACATAATAGAGCAATCAATAGTCAGCGCCAGGCTAGAAGGGGAAAAGAGAAGGGGGGGAATGTCGGAGAGTTAAGGCGGAACACAAGGTTTTTAGAGAGCAACCGAGGGGGGGGTGGTCAGTCTACGCTATCAGAGTATAAAAGGGGAACTGTAGAAACTTAATTGCCAATGAGGGTGGGGTCATCAGATAACCACAGAGCCTGAGGGGGCTAAGATAAATTTTGCTATGACCCCCGTTGGTGATTAATAATTACTGATCCTTAGATGCAACGGAGACGAGATGTGAAATTCTCAACTGGCATAAATTATTTTGCGTTCAAATTTTGCATGCATGTTTTTCTTTTTTTCTTTCTTTTTTCTAGCTTTTTACAACGTTGTTTTCTTTTGCGCACTTTTCTTGTAAAAGGATTTTCATGATATGTTTGTTTGCCATCCACCCTCGCTCAGGCACAAATTTAACGATCGTTCGTTCCTTACCTGTCTTTGTCGTATATTTCTTTGCAGGAACTTGGGGGCGTGACAGGCTCTGCAGGTATGAGATGAGAAAAACTATAAGGTAATCAGTCATAACTGGATAAATGTGGATTTTCCAAACTATGTTAACAATAACTTTTAATCCAACCAAAATTCAGAACCGACGGACCGACAAAGCGGTGACGTTAAAAACAACAGAAACGATCTTCTACATCTTACTTGGTTCGCAGCAGTCCTGTTTCTTGTTAATCAGGTCCTCAAGATCTGACAACTTGTCCAATATTTTGCTGCAAAGTTTGTTTTTCTTGCCAGCAACAGCGCCAATTGCGAGATAAACCAGAAAGATGAGCGCACAAAATTTCATCGCTTTCGTCTTCTCACACTGTCTTGAATACCACTTGATTTCAGCCAGACTCGAAGATTAGTGAGGATGTTTTAACAAACGCCAACTTTTAAACACATGAATCGCCGCTGACATTTTCTACAATTTCACCGTACTTGAGTTTATACTCAAGCCTTATGATTTGTTGCGAGAATTTCTACATTCATCGGGCTTATGTTAAGAAGCTATTTTTACCAATTTTCTCTAACCAACTGACCAATAGCAATTCTGATTCATGATGGTATTCATGCTTTAGACGAAATTCAAATAACCATAGATACTGACGACGGAAGAGCCAAAGTAATTTATCAAATCTTTCAAGCCTAATTATGATGGCAAACGTGATATGTGACTAAGGCCAAAATTAATGCGACACACGAAATTTCCTTTAAGGCGAGCGTTATTCGTACGTAAAGTTATCTAAGTAATTTATTAAATCTTTCAAGCCAAATGATAATGGCAAACGTAATGCATGTTTAGGGCCAAAATAAATGCGACACGTGAAATTTCCTTCAGGGCGAGCGTTATTCGTACGTTAAGTTATGAAGTAATCCATCAAATCTTTCAAGCCAAAGGATGATGGCAAACGTGATGCGTGTTTAGGGCCAAAATTAATGCAACACACGAAATTTCCTTTAAGGCGAGCGTTATTCGTACGTAAAGTTATGTAAGTAATTCATCAAATCTTTCAAGCCAAATGATAATGGCAAACGTGATGCGTGTTTAAGGCCAAAATTAATGCGACACGTCAAATCTCCTTTAAGGCGAGCGTTATTCGTTCGTGAAGTTATGAATCAGCGTGAGGCGTGATTTTCTGCCTGAAGTACAGGTGACCCGTGAATTTCTCGTTCATTTCGTGAAAATCTTAGCACATGAGTTTCCCTTTTGAATTTTCTACAATTCGTGCGTGAAACGGGGTCAGGATTTTCCAAAATGAGTAATGGTTGTCGGTAAACTAAAGAAATATAAATTTAATATTTTAAGTGTAGGCAGGGTCATTATGATTTTAAATTTCATATGAAGGCCACTCCTCCCGTTAAAAAAATCACTAGCCTTACAATTTTTCTCTATGCAAACTTTTCTTTTTAATGCACTGATTTCGGTTCCTTAGCCTCGAATTCTTATCCCCAAAGTTCTCGAATTCTCAGATCTGCTCTTAAGGCTGAGGTTTTCAGTCAAAAGATAGTTAAGCACGGCTTGACGCTCTCTCAGTTTGTGTCTTGCGGAAGTCTCTGCTCAGGGCGCCCCTTAGCAATGTGAAAGGAGCTCTTGTATATCTCCGAACACATGGACCATGTGCATCGAACCCAAGAAAGAACCGGATATATAGTATTTTACTCTCACTACGAAGAAGCATTTCATTGCTTCAATTTTTTTTCAAATTATTCTATTGCCTTATGTAGTAGCGTATGATCGCTGTCGTTTGAAAAAATTGGGATATGTAAGCTGATGTATCGCAAAAACTGACAGTACAAGTATCTTTTATTTCATTGCAAAATAGATTGTTATAAAACGACAACGACATCACCATTGCGAGATAAACCAGACCGTTCTCTGTGCAAAACTTCATCATTGCAGTTTCACTGTCTGGACTAACTCTTGCTTTTAATCAGACTACGTGATAACTAGAGAGGCTGCTGAAAACTTCGGTCAAAAGCCAGCTAATGATTTGCCTCATACAAGGCATCACCCGCCTTCAGGCCAGCTAAGCGGATGAAAATGCGGGGGGCTTAACGTCAAGGCTAGTGCCCCGCATGCAGCCCTCAGATACATCTACTTTTCCGACACCAAAGAAAAATTCTACAAGAAATGGCTTAAGGAAATTCTGGTAGTTCAGAGAGTGGCAGAGACATAATGCATAAAAAAATTGAAGTGTTTAATCGCCTCTTTCTAAACTTCATTTCGAGACTTTCTCAACGATATTCGCTTGCTCCCAGTGAGCAGAATAGCATTTTAAAAAATCACTGCGAATTATCCCGAAGTAAGAGAAGAAACAAGGTGATCATTAGTAAAGTTTAGGGAGACCTCTGGATTGACAATACGGCTCTCCCGCTGGGTTTTCTTTAAACTTCGCCGCAGGACATTGCTAAAGTAACAAATGAATAAAGGGGCTAAGTTTCTAAAGAAACTGTGGTGCTGTGTCGGTGGGAGAGTAAAGCAGGTAATTTAGTGTTAACAACTGAGTTGAAAACGTAAATTGGCTAGAGTTCTTGCGGAGTTCTAGACGTGTGATTGATGTGAAGATGAATACGCAAAAACGCAAAGACATAGTCATTAAAGCGGCCGACAAAGGCAATGTTTACTACAAACCTACAGATTCACATAGTTACTTGTTATATTCATCTTCACATCCATCACACGTCAAGAACTCCATACCTTTTTCACAGTTTCTCAGACTTCGTCGTTTAAGTAGTGACGACTCTGATTTTTCCGAAAAATCAGAGGCAATGTACTAGTTTTTCGATAAACGTGGCGATCCTGTTTCTGTCGTTCAAGCGGGCTACGACCGTGCCCAACAAATTGATCGACAGTCAGCACTACAAACGGCTGAGAGGGAAAACACTGACCGCATTCCATTCACTCCTACATTTCACCCTCACAACCACGCGGTTAAATCTATCATTCTTAAAATCTTTAAATTACTCCAAAACGATTGGAGACTGGCACTATCTTTTCGCAACCCCCACTTGTTTCATTCAAACGTGACAAAAACACAGGCAACTTTTTGGTCAGAAGTTCATTTCAAACCAGTGACCAATCTGGAACTTTCAAATGCGCTCGCTCACGATTTAAAAATTGGCCTTTCATTCATAATGTAGAGAAAATATCGGGACCCAAGAGATCCATTAAGATCACTGATCACTTTACGTGTACCTCCGCCAATGTTATTTACTGCATAACTTTCACTTACTGCAATAAGTTATACATTGGCGAAACATACAGGAAAACGACTAGGTTATTGTTTCCGAGAACACCTTCGCGACGTGGAAAGAAATGACGAGGACGCATCCAAACCAGTTGTTAGACACTTTAATCTCCCTAATCATTCAAAACAGCACATGGCAGTTTGCGGCCTTTCCTTACATCTATGCAGTTCGGAAAGCCGCAAAACACTAGAACAAAAATTTATCTTCGAAATCGGCATCGCAAGTTCAACTACTTAAATATTCGTTGTCGGTCACCAGGTGGATTTGACTGAGTAAACGTCTCAGTTTCTTATTCTGGTTGTCCCTCCTCTTATTACAGACATTATAATACTAACCGCCTTTTCATTTTTTCCCTTTCATCACGAAAGCATAGCACTTATCATATTTCCCTTTTTTTGACTGTCTGATTGGTTATTTCAACTCCATATTTTGCATAAAGTGTTTTCCCTGGGGACTCCCATGCAAATGAATAACCAAATACTTAGGATATTGAGATTCTAGTCTAATTATTGTTGTTACTTGATCAACTATCAATCCTGTATAAATAGCCACAACGTTAAAGTTGCTCAAAAACCTTTTCAGACTTGAGGGCATGTTTTCGCCAAACCTAAGAATCCTGTCACTAAAGAACAACGAACCAACATTATTTATTTTATTCCGTGCAATGACTGTGATCACGAGTTTATAGGACAGATCAAACGTCAGTTTGGTACACGTTTGAAAGAGCATCAAAAAGCGCCCTTTAAATCGTGATGATGGCGGCTTACTACCTGACGCCTATTAACACCTCGTCAGAAAAAAGGGCAACTAGTTGGTGACCATATAAAAGGACCTCTTCTTCCTTTTTTTGAATGTCTGATTGGCTATCTCTACTCCATACTTTGCACAATGTATTTTACTGGCGACTTCCCATGCAATTGAGTAATCAAATTGGATCATGATTGTAAGTCAGTTTTGAGATTCTAGTCGAAACATTATCGATCAAATATCAAACATTTTCAGAGCAAACATAAATTTTATTGAAAATAAATTTGCCAAGCAAATGGTATCATTATCAGAAACACCGAGCAGTCACGCATCTCAATTGCATAATCTCTTGGAGATTTCTCACGAAAATTTGAATGTTTACTTACTGTCAGCTGTGGTGTTAAAACAAAATGCTTGGGGAAGAGCTCCCCATTTTGGTCACTTAACTTCTTCCAAAGTAAGTTTTAGTTGAGAAAGATTATTTTAACCTCGCAATAGACAGACAAGGCATGTCATAAAGTTCTGTTTCTGTTTTTTTAAGAAGTTATTCATCAACAGTTTGTTACGTTAAAGCTTTATTAAACGCGCCAAGATTGCTAGGAATCAAATTTTGTTATATGACCTTTGAGTTCGACGTAATCAAGCTCTATATTACGTTCTACTTGCGAGTCGCGCGATCCGCGTTTTTTCTGTCGCTATCCCTTCGTCAATCGCTACCCGCAAGAGCAAGATCACAGTAAGTCTGATCACATATCTTCAGTTGTAATCGTTTTGTTTCATTTATAAGATCGTGTTCCTTATCAATGTCCTTGATTTACATGTTGTAGCATTAGCTTACATAAGATTTTCCCTTTTTTTTTTCTTTTTATCGTTTGACTTTAGTTCGAACCACGCTTACAACTACAGCTTCAATTTTGTCATCCGTACCCTGTACTGTTTTGATTCGCCGCTTTTTCTAAAAAATACTCTAATTGATTTAACTCGATTTCTCAGGGATTAATCAATTCGTCAACGTGTGTTCAAGTGTTCAGGCTCCTAGAGTCATTCTCCCAACACAGTCTACACGTGGCTTCGTCCCGGAAAGTCACAACCACTTCTGCAGTTTAACTAGGTTCTTAGTCTGAATAACTAACTGATACTTGCATCGATGGCAAGAGCTTCTTTTAAAGGTAGGGCTTGCATTTGTTTTAGAAACCAAAGGGAAATATGTGGAGCGAATTTTTCAATTTCTTCGACAAAGTTTGAACGTAATTTGCCTAGGATCGATGAAGATCTCCGTCAGCAAAAGTCTGTGCTATGTGAGGAGAGATGAGTCACCAACATAATTTCTCAGTTAATATTTAGTCCGAAAAGGTTTTTAAGCGTGTCTATTTGTTATTCCTATCCGTTCTTTTAACAATTTTGTTCCATCCTCTTCTCAACAACGTGGAAATGGCGTGCAATGTTGTTCAT